CTTGAAAGTTTCTAAAACTTCAGAAAACCAAATTTCTATCATTCACGTTTCTACAATTAACATATCGCATATTTTGTCATTTCAGAAATTTATATTCATTTTTTAATAATCAATTTCTAAGTTTGAATTTCTGATTTTTCGTAGTTTCTAAGCCTAAAATGAATTTTTGAATGTTTTTTTTCTGTGCCTCAAATAAAATTCAGTTGAGAAATTCTACTTATTTCTAGTTCTAGTTTACGTTTCTAACTTCTCCAATTTAATTAATCAATTAGTGTTTTCTAAAATTTGTTATTTTATTAATTTATCTTCTAAATTTTTCTTGCATAAATATTTATTTACACAAAATTTTAAAATAAATTTCTAAACATCGCAGTGAGAACGAAACGAGGCCCGCGAACCACCAGGAAAACATCAATTTCAAGAAGTGAAACCGCATTCCAATCTCAATTTTACCAACTAAGCAACAAAAATTAACAAATTAAAATTATTGTAAAACAATAGATTCACTCAAAAAAGCATTTTAATCATTTCATTCATTCAATTCGACAAACTTAATTAATTAATTAACAATAAAAAAATTAATAAAACCAAGAATCCTCACTTTTACCAACAAACAAATAAAAAAATGTATTAATTAATAAATAAAACACCTTTAGCAGGATTGAAACAAAAATTGTGATTTTCTGACAATTTTTGCAATTTTTTATTTTTTTTTTTCATTAAAAACTCCTTAATTCTGTATAAATTAACCCAAAAACACTAGTTTTGGCCATTTCATTACAAACAAAAAAATTCAAGAAATAAAAAAAAAACAAGTATAAAACCCAATCTCGTCCATTTTTCTTTCTTTTTTTCCTTCAAAACTCACTCATGCGTGAATTTATTGGAAATCAAATCCATATGAGTGTCAGGAGTTCAGAAACCTCCGTTGGTGTTTTTCACACATGGCCAACTTTATACGCACATATGGGGCCCCAAACACGATCAATAGCCCCCAAACCCGCCCAATCAATCAATCACGGCCCTGCAACAGCAGGAACCCAGACCTCGATTCCTGCTAGCAGGATTGCAGCAGGAAATGTCAGCTGTCAAGCCCCAATGACTGACAGAAGTTGCCGTAGTGGCGGTGTCCGCGTCGCAGGAGCGCAGGAATGCGCGCAACGTTGCAGGAATGCCGTTAATTTATGCAAAAATTATCGGAAATTAAGCAGGAAACTTGACAAAAGATCAGAAGACTGAAGGCGGTGCAGCAGGACTTAAGGGGGGCCAACTTAAGGAATTTCAAACATTTTCGTTCAAGTAAAGGGGTAAGACGATAGTGAATTCTAAGTGACAGGATTGCAGGAAGTGGGACAAGTGCAGGAATGCGGCTGCAGGAAAAACACACTTTTGCACGTTTATCCCCACTATTATTATTATTATTACTAATTGGGCATAATTTGTAATTAATTATAATTGTGGTGAGTGGATTTGGGGCGAAATTAATTAAAATCGAGATTAGATTCGATGATTCGAAATTCGGTTTAGTGGAAGGAGGCGCCATCTTTCGACGCCATTTTGGGGCTATAAGTGGACACGTGACGCGTGGTTGCAGTCATGGCGGTATTAGGAGCGCAGGAGTGGGAGGAGTTTAATTTAGTTTTGTGATCTAGTTGGCGACATAACCTAAAAAAGTGTAATTTACGGAATTATTCAATTAATTTGGTTAAAAAATGTAGAACAAAAACGTAGAAATGTAATAATTTATTGTTTCATTATTGGGACTTTTCTGTCAATTTAATTGCAAATTAGTCAATTTTTTGACGGAATTTTTACGTTTCTGGATTTGGAGGATAAAAAATTTGGAAATTAATCGATTTTTTGGTAAATAAAAAATTTCGTATTGAAAGATGGTGACCGAAATTAATATTTTTTAATGTTTGCATCTTTTTTGATTTATTGTACTTCTTTTTTATTTAAGTTTCTTTTTTTTATAAAGTTTCTGATAAAATCCAATGATTTTGGAGTTAATTTATTCCATTTTTGTGCAAAGTGTTCCAAATTGATGAAAATCACGTTTTTAAACTTTGAATCTTTTAAAATTTTATGTTTCTAGAATTTCGAAGTAAGTTAGTCAATTTCTAAAGATTTAAGTTCATGAATTTCTATATTTTCTGAATTAATTTTAATTTTTTAGTTTACTCTATTTGAATTTAACCTACATTTCAGAAATTCTAGAAATATAAATATTTCCCTTTAGAATTCTGAATTTAGATTTTTGAAAGCTTGAAATTATTATTTTCTAAGTTTTTTTTACATTTTACGTTTGTACATTTCTAAAGTTCAATGCCAATTCGAAAACTTCGTGTTTCTAGAATCAAGTTTAAAAAAATCAATAAATTTCTAGCATTTAAGGCTTTGAAATTCCATAATTAACTCATTTTTTGAATTCTAGAAATTTTTAACTTAAGTTTCTAAAATTTCAAGTTCGAAATTCTGTTTTTACAATCAAGGTTTTTAGAGTCAAAATTCCGCGTTTTTGAATTCTAGAATCCCAATTTCTATTTTTTTTAATTAATTAATTTTTTTGGAGTCAAAATCCCGCCTTTTTTAATTCTATATCCCATTTTTTTTAAATTAATTACTTTTTCAATACTAAATTACTAGAATTAGAATCTTCCAAACCTAGATTGCAAAGTTTGAAATTCTATAAATGAATTTCTACTTTTCTCTCTTTATAATTATTAAAAACTTGCATGATTCTAACTTTTTCTTTACCAATTTTCAATTTTATTCTTTTTGCTTCATTATAGAATTCTAGAAATATAAAATTTTACTTCTAGAATTCTGATTTTTAGATTCTAGGCTTGTAAGAATCTAGAAATATTTTCCAACACAAGCTTAATCTTAAGTTTGATTCTTATTTTTAGAGTTTCTTATAGACTTTAGATTTGTAGATTTCTAGAGTTCAACGTCAATTCGAAAATTTCGTGTTTCGAGAATCAAAAATTTCAAAAAATTCTACAAATTTCTAGCATTTGTGGCTTACAAATTCCCAGACTAAAAAACTCTTTTCTTGGGTTCTAGAAATTCGCAATTTCAACTCAAGTTCCTAAAATTTCAAGTTTCTATTTCTGAATGTCAACTTTACAATCTAGGTTTCTGGAGTAAAAATTAAGCGTTTTTTAATTCTAGAATCCAAAAATTTTGTAGTCACAAATGTTTTAAGAGTGAATTAATTTTACAATACCAAATTACTAGAATTAGAATCTTCAAAATCTAGATAGCAAAGTTTGAAATTCTATAATTCTAAAATTTTATGAATTTCTGATTTCTCTTTTTATGATT